TAGGATGAACATCAACACTAGATGCACCAGAACACCAGGTGGAGATAGTAACCAGGACCCAACATGTACACCACCTCACATCAATACCACTTCAGCCTAGGATGAACATCAACACTAGATGCACCAGAACATGAACCAAGAGGAATTGTAACAAATTCAAATTTATAATTAACATTTGATTTTTTAGCTATGAGGACAAATCCTTCTCATTAAGTTAACGAGCTGAAGAAGACAAGTCTGCTTAGAAAAAAGGTTTTAATAGGCCTATTTAAAAACAATTAACTTGCATTGTTAAGTTTAACGTGTTTTCGTAGGTTGGAATCATTTACAAAAATTAAGACGCTTCCGCAACCATGAAGTAATGAACTTGTGATATAACCCTACTATACATATTGAACAAAATTCAATGAAGGTTAAAAGGTTTAAATGTTTAAAAGCGCAAAAATCATCGTAAGACGAAGAACAAGAATCGAAAAAAAAACAACACACACACAGCGCACATATATAAGTACATATTGGCATAAAAATGTGAAGTCTATGAGGAATTAAACGAGAAAGCTGCTATCTTAATTGATTCTGTATAGTGTTCGTAAAAATACGTCACTCCTTTTGAAGTTAATTTTTTTTCCTCTGATCATTATTTTTACGATGAGGTTCTAATCTCATATCTTATGTCTTATTTTGATCATGCATCTGCTCGAATATTAAGTTGCATTTTAGACAATATCTACAGATAATTAAAAAGAAATTCGTACGTCTAATCAAGTAGAATGCTGCTAACGCTGTTTGATACTGAATCTACTGTCAGATCAAAATGAAAATTGAACTCATTTTGTCTGCCCACCGCTCAGCTGTACGGGGAGAGGGGAATGAAAATAGAGTATGCAGTTTGCTTACACGGTATAAGTAGTAACGCAAATGACTGGCTGCCATCCGCCCCTGATACCCTTACTGCGAATTAACACGTTAATAAATATTATGCTATCACTACAAACAGAACGAAATAACAAAAGACATGATTGCCATGTTTTTTGTGCTGTTTAATAAACTAATGATGGCTACGAAAGCAGTGAACAACGATAAGAAAAACACTTTCAACTTCAGTTTCCTGTGACTAATTGTTAATCACTTTGATAGTAATATGTCTTGACTAATACTTGACCAATTGATAAAGCCTGATTACCAACAATTAGATCATTGGACTAACACTGAATAAATAATAATTCAATAATATAAAGTAGACAAATTGTCTTCATTTCATATTTTTCTGGAGCTACTGAAAAATGCGTTACATCTAAATATATATTTTTCGTGTTAATAACTGTTTCAAATTTCTCTCCTTGTTTGTATACGTGGTTAAGAAGGCTATTGTCAAACTTTTAAACAGGGGATCTTTAGAAGTCAGGGACTCACACTGTTTTCTAGCACGGGACTCTAAAAATACTTTTCACTCCTGCTAGGATACGTAAGCAATATAAAATAAGACGCGGGAGTCGGTCGTGGAAAAAATCCTCGCAGCTATACGCCGAATAGAAATATGGCGATAAACTTGAATAACTATTGTTAATTCTGGACTGATTAGCCTCGTGTTCATGTCGAAAAAAAGGCCTTTTTCAGTCCAGAACAATAGTTATTCAAACTGGTCTCTATATTTCGATTCGGCGTATGGTCGTAGAAGTTTTTGAGGAAAAAAAATGATTATATTTTTTGACTTTTTTTTCTTCAGCACGACTATTTCAAAAAAGAAGTAATGACGGTTCATCCAGCCCATCCACAGTAGCGAGAAACAGCTGAAAGGTTCTGCTGCAGGCTCACGTGGATTGAATAGCGGTTAATTATTGGACCCATTCCACTCTCACCTNCCCATCCACAGTAGCGAGAAACAGCTGAAAGGTTCTGCTGCAGGCTCACGTGGATTGAATAGCGGTTAATTATTGGACCCATTCCACTCTCACCTTGAAGACAAACACGCCTCTCAACTTTTATTAWATATACTTTGTTCAAATAGCTAAACACTGAATGAATAAAATGTAGTTTGTTATGTTTTGTCTATTTTATTGTATGTTTAATCTCTTCGTTGGAAGCGAGGGCTAGTGACGATTGTAACGAGTCCAACCACGTGTTGACTTGCCACAACTTAGATCAAGTCTGAGGTTGTTTCAGGGTTCGATGTGTGAGTTAGGCATGCCCTGACTTAGATCAGCTTATAGTTCGCGTTTAAGGGTTCAAACAGCTGTAAACTAATTTATGATTTTGTGAAATGTGTTTTTGTCACTCGGTAAAGATCTATATGTTAAGTGTATGCTACATCGATTGTATAAGCAGATTAAAAAATCTGCCTCAGTTGGGTTCTCGCGGGACTCAAACCACTGACCTCTCGTTTGCTAGACGAGATCTCAACCAGATCTCGGCCACTGAGGCTTTACGGGAGAAGGTCGTGTTAGATCTATATTTTAATCAAATCCGCGCGTGAT